TACCAAACCCTCAGACTATAATAGTGAAGATTATGGCTAATCAGTAACTCTCATGTATCAAAGACATTATCTCACTCTCTGTTAGCTCAAATGATATCCCAAAGTACAAGCACCATTCAGGCCAAAATTAAAATAATATATATACACACAGACATATTTATGATCTATATATTAAAATAAGATGAAAGATTTGTCTCAAAAATTAATGGCATCATGAAGAGTCTCAAACACTTCATAACATAAGTACAACCTTTCTAACACAAAGAAGTAATTCCAAAAATTGGTGGTTTTGAAAGGGCCATTAAGGCTCCAAACCCAACCATTCACACTGTGATCATAACAGCAATCAAGACTTGGTTCACACAATCTACCTACGTTGAATAACCTCCAGGATGAAGAATGTCTTATTCAGAAACAGGCTATGAAATATAAAGATATGTGAAGTTCAAGACAAGCTGTCATGCTTTACTAGACACCTAAGACTACCTCCAGCTTCTCAGCTGCCTCCTCCACATTTCTGTCAAAATTCTTGAGTTCATAGCAGCACAACGTAAGTAGTGACATGAGTGACCGTATGAGAGACAGTCTAGTCAGTTCTCAATAGAAAGACATTTAAGAAATTGTTCAATTCAGTTCTCAAAGAACTGATGTTAAAAAAGTAACAAATCGGTCAGGATTTGATGAAATTTTTTCTGTTCCACATGAAAATGCAAGTATATTTTAGTATCAGTTTTATGGGGAAAGGCCTTAACTCCATGAATATTCAGACACACAGAAATGTTAACAACGTGACTGGAATTTCATCCCATACTCAAAATAAATCTAGAATGAGACAATATCTATGTCTTAACCTTTTAAAAAAATATGTGAGAAGGCCAATATGGTATCTGACAGCTTGAACCAAGCCACTGTGCAAGATATTATCTTTTTCACCATGTCTAAAATTATCAATTTGTCTAAAATTATCAGTTCTTCATTGTGTCAGGATCATAATAACCTCCAAAGTTTTTGAAATCTTTGAAACAGAGTGGAGTTCAAACATGCATAGCCTCTGTTGAAATTGAAACCATCATCTGCTCTTTAATGAGATTCAAAAGAGCTACCAAATGAAAATAGTTTCAAATAAATAAAATTAATAACAGAAATAGTTTGTGCAGTTGTCTTTTGAAGAGAACGATCATATCCACATAGTTTATTTTAAAATCAGTGGGTTCTTTTGAAGAATCAAGGTAATCCTGGGTGTCAATATAGAAATGGTCACACTGCAAATGCAAAATCATTCAACAGTTAAAATCATTGGACAAAGGGAACTTGATGGTTTTCTGAAATAATCGGAATGTAAATCTTTCCCAGAACCAGAGGGAGCTGAGAGAAGTTCCCTACTCTACCTTATGTGTTTCGCACACATTTGCTGGGTTCTATAAAACAACTGAAAACTTCTTACTTTTGATGTTCAAAGACAAAGAGAGAAGAACATTTCACTGGCTGCAAGTGATAGCAAGTTGCCAAACACCCTGAAAGATGGTATTTGGCATGCATCAAATTAAGCTTTCAGGTGAGTATTATTTTCTTCCTCTACAAGAGAAATGTTGGTTTACTGAATTGGCATCCTAAGCTGCTGGAATTTACATTCACTGCATACAAAGTTGTATATATCTGGAAGCTGTATTTGCTCAATATTTTAGCATGTAAATTTCCCAGTTGCATAAGCCTCATTCTGCTGTCTACTGCTTCATTCAGTGTGCATTTCCCTATAAAAATCAGTATATAATTAAAAAATAACAGTAACACATTTTGTATATCAGTGGCACCTATGCTATTAAGAACAGTTACTGCTTGCTGTCGTGTGATTTGTTATTTCAGTTTTAGTCAATGTGAAGTTGTTCATAAACATAAAAGATACAGTTCAACACCCATTATTCCCATGAAATCTAAGCCCCCACCCTGGTTGGATACTCCATTCACTAAGGTAATAAGCAGCACAGAAGCAGCAGCACCACTGGTATCAGTTTTATCTGATCTAGAAGGAACTCCCACATAATAGTAATATCTGTACAACCTGAACTGAATTATAATGCTTATAACTCAGGCACTGTAACTAAACTGAAGAAGGAATAGATCATCCAATCAGTCTGACAATCCTAATCTAATGCTCTGGAAACAGTCAAACATGTCCTTGCTCTGTTCCTACTCATGACCATGAACTTTGTAAGTAGTAGTCCTCCTTGTGACCTTTGAAAGAGAAGTATTCTTTGCAATTCTACACCTTCTGAGATGCGTGCTGCTAACACTGGCCTGTACTAAACTACTTAGTAGCAGAATGTGGCATGAATTCGGCTTGAAATTTAGTATTATGAAAAAATGACAAACAGATCAAACAGCTCCATCACAGAGTATTTCAGACAGTTTAAGAATCATCGTATACAAGGTCCAAAGCAGACATATAGAACCTGTCAAAAAATGCCTACAAAGACCAAAGAAACACACAGTTAAAACAGGAAGCTATTAGAAGTCATTCTTCAAGAAGCTGAAGTTGTATACATTAAGGAAAACAGAAAAGAATAAATTCTTGTAAATTCTGGTAGACCATAAATACTTTTCATGGAATAATGTGTACAGGCATAAAAGAGATCACAAATAGGAGACTGTCACAATCTGTGTCTGAATTAAATCTTTTGCATTCATGATCATGGTGATTAGAGAGATACTTGCTCTACAATATTATTTTACGCTGAATGAACTGGAGGATATACTTCTAACTGGTATTTCAGAAAGAGAAGCTATAAAGTGAGTCAACAAAAAAAAAGTAAAAATGTTTAAAATCAGATGATATTCTGATATCATCAGAATATGATGACAATGTCTTGTGTAAAATACCTAACTATTTACAATAATAGAGCCTTTCACTGACAAGAAGAATAAAAGGTAGCAAATATGATGCCAGTTTATTAATTTTTTAAGTAATTTCAGTATTACATCAACTGAACAATAGACAAGTGAGTCTGACATCCATATTGGATAGATTTGTAGAAATCAAAATAGAGAATAAAATTAGCAAGCATATAAATAAATGATGATTAAATGCATAAAAGCTGAATAGCTTTAGTAAAGGGAATTTGTGTGTGTTACATGTATGAGAATTCCTTCAAGGAGTCACGAAAAAAGTGAGTAAATGGGTTTTTTTCATACTGCTGAGTTGGGCTTCCAGGGTTTTAAAGAATCTCAGCTGCTACGGAATAGGAATATTTTCATCCATGAGAAAATTTAATTGATGAAAAGATGTGAAGAACAGGAATAAATGGTCACAGTTTCTTTTTAGGGAAAGGTATCACCAGTGAAGCCCCACGGGGGATCTGCCTAGAGATGCTCAGACCATCGGATTCATTAATTAACTAGAACAGAAATGAATGAGACACAGAAAAGCTTACTTATCGCACTAAACTTTCAACAGTTGTAGAAAAAAAGCCTGCTGAGAAGAGCTGCAGAACAGATTCATAATACTGAATGGAGAAGTCAGCTTACAGAAAGACAGATTTAGGTTAGACAGTAAGAAAAGCTTTCTGTGGTGAGGATGGTGAAGTAGTGGAACAAATAACCTATGAGGGTGTGGAAAAAACTCATTGGAAATCTGTCCAGACAAGTCACAAAAATATCTGCCAAGTTCACATGCCCCATCCCGAGGACAGTCTAAATGATGTATCAGAATGCTTCATTAGATGAAATCTTCCTCCTAATGCACTTTTTCTATGTTTCTAAGTACATAGACATAATGACTCAAATATCTGCCCTGAATGCCTTTTATAATCATATTAAATTAATACAGAAATTGTATCTCTTATTACTAGCAATATGATTTAGTTATAAAAACCCAATAAAAATATGTGAGCTTAGTGAAGAAAAAAAATTTAAAATTACCTTAACAAAATCCAAGACATTTTGAGAGATGTACACATAATCTAAGTGAATCATTAGGAAATAGAAGTTTATTTTATACTTTGTCAATCAAAAACCTGAATGCATTATTTAAGCCTACATTTCCACCCTGGACAAAGAAATACGTAATGTTTATACCGCTGTCTCCTACCTTTCAAAAGATTAAGATAATATTTGCATATTCCATGGCGTTTGCAATGAACATACTAGTGGAAAAAATAGATTTATGGAAATAAATTTTACTAGAAAATGATTATATTAATAAATATTAAATGATGAAATTATTGCACTGATTTAAAAAAATCAAATCTTTCCACAAAAGACTAGAATAAGACATCTTAAGTATTGTCATGAATATTCTACAAACACGTATCAGAATCCTTACCTAAATGTTGACTAAACTGATCTCAGAACAGTTTTCTGTGATCACTTCAGTTCTGCTGAATTTTTTACTCTATGATCAAACTTTTTAAAAATTCAGATTGCTGCTTTATGTTATATAATAAACACCAGTATAATAGCTGTAACTCTATACTGTTAGTGCATGTATTTTTTTCCTAAAATATTTTGACATATATATGCAGACTTATGTGCACATTCACATTATACATGTGCATATGTATGACAGAAAGTAGAATTTTACAACTCCATAATATATTATGTATACTGTTCTAACACTAATTTTACAATTGTCTTGTACAGAAGAGCCTGGGCAAGCAGAAAACAAATAAATCCTTGCTCTAACTTGTAATAATCAGTGCCTCAACATTAGCATCACTAGATATACCTCCCTGTCTCCAATACAAAGATTCAATCGTCCAATCAAAGAATTGTACTTTATGAGTCTGTTGGTAGAAATGTGGCATGTATTAACTTAAAAGCCATAGTTACAAACCCATCTGCAAATGGAAATTATTTGAAATGAGGACAGATGTCCTAAAAGCCCCTAAAGTAGATATCATTACCTCCTGAAAGGAAATCCGTTTCAGTAGATATGTGATTTGGATGCATAAGCAATGAATAAGAGATACTGAGTTTAGCAGAAGCTTGTTATAAAACTTTCATACCTTATTTGACCGTAAAGACACTCTTCCTCCACAGCGTGCACAGAATTTAGTTTGGCAATATGAACAGTTATGGCCACAGCCATCAGCAAATTTTGTTTTGTGGCAGATGCCACACGTTGGGGCATCACCCTTCTGCTCCTGCTGCTGTTGTGACTCTTCACCCATCTTCTTCACTTGCTCCTTATACATTTCAAACTGCTGATGTAATTTTCTGCAGAAGATAAAAGATAATTAACAATTGTTTTATTTAAGTCCACAAATACTTTGCAATCACTAAATTGCAATCAATTTCAAAACACAAAGCAGAGAGAAATACATTTAATTTATGATGCTCCAGAAGAGTAACATTCAAGAATTACTTCTTTTTCATTATAACTAAGCTCTAGGAGGCCCAATACTGATAACATGAAGCACACAGTCCAGCTGTTACAAAGAGAACTTTGCTTTAGGATGTGACCAGCTGTTAGCTGCAAATACAACAGCAGGAAACACAGGCTAAGTGATCCAAGAGCCCATGGCACTAGACAATAAACTGGTTAATACCAGAAATAAAAAACAAATCGAATTTATTCTTCCAAGTGTACTTTTACCTAATTCCACCAGACGGAGGCTAATATCTTCTCTTGTTATAGCTTATCTTCATTTATGCAGCAATACTGCACAGAGTAATGACTCTAAAAATGCTTTTCCAATCACTTTTCAAGCACTGAGTTCAAGCCCATAACAAGTTGCCTCAGCTTAACAAGTTATTATAAATCATTTCAGCCATTCATATCATTATATAGGTACTGCCATCTCATGCCAAATATAAGGCACAAGAGTACCTTAGGTGTAAAATTCAGGGCCAGTAATTTAGATACATACACGCATTTTACCTTCCGTTCCAGTGGACTAGGAGCACATTCATGGGCAGCTGCCATGTGTGCACAGAACTGCAATGGTTCCTTCAGGCATGCCATTTCATTCTTATTTCTGAGCCCACAATAATCAAATCTCCATATATGATAATTAAAACCATCTCACTATGACCAAAGTTATCAACTCATTTCATGTTCTGTAATGTCAGTTTTTTCTCAAAGCCCCTATTTCTGAAGGTAAATGATGTTACAGGAATTTTAACTTTCATTGTAAAAAATTAGAGTTTTTTAGCTCCTGCTGAAAAAAAGCTAGAAAATGCAACATGGCATACTGTAAGAGATTCAAATATATAAAAAAAACAACCTAAAAACTGAAAAGAACTTCGACTTCTCTTTTGTTTTTATCCTTGTGATTTCTGAACAGCGATCTTTGAATTCTTAGCATGGAATTCAACGTACCTGATTTTGTTAATAGAGACTGTAAATTTTAACAATCTAAAAGTCCTTAATCCAGATTAAGCAGTTTATTTAGCTCCCTGCACAGACATAAGCAAAACCATGCAAAATGAAGCATTTTCTATGAAACATTAAAATGGTATACTAAGCCACAAAATTCAAAGTGCAAAAGAGATTCATTTTTCTTTAGAATTATCCTTTCAGAGATTCTTGAGAGATCATTAAAAAGCACACATGAACCTAAGACAGAACAAAGAATAACCTCCTGGAAAAAACTAAATCTGTGAGATGAACTTAGTTAATGCAGAAATACAGCCTTTATGTAGCTCAGATATAAATTAATGGTACAAAATTATTTGATCTCATGTGTCAGAGGCTCTTATGGAAACAAGTACTACCACACTGAGTCAGTTAAAAATTATCTTAAACTTTATTTACCACGGATACCCACACATATGGCAAGAATTGTTGGGATCTGCTTTGTTTTTTCAGGAAAACTCCCCTAAGAATGTATTTTACATTATACCATAGAGGAGTTGTAGGGACAAACCAGCAGCTCCCCCTCTCCATCAGGCAAGACCAGAGTCTGGAGGCAGGCCTCTTCTGTGCACCAAAATGCTGCCTCAAGCTCTCAACTGCCACCAACCCTTTTCCAGAAAGGGAAAGCAGGGTGACTTCATGTTGCTTGTGTGTCATTTTTCTGATCTACCTGCTCTTGTCACTTGAGATCAGTCCAGAGTCCACACACTGGCCTCAGGACATAGCAGTTGCATGTTTTTCTCCAGCCCTTCTCCCCCACATGCTTTACAGAACCCATTGGCCTGCGGCAGAGCAGTGAGAGGGGTCATGCCTCTGGCCTCCATGGGAAGGACATGAGGCTCATCGTTGCCCTAACAGGAGTTCACGTAGTCAGGGGTAAGTGGCTTCCTCTGCCTTCTCAATGGTTCAAAAAGACTTCACTGTTGACTGTTCTTTGTTGAATGGGGCAGTACACGGGGCACTAATAAGAAAGAGCTGAATGAAGTTGAGAACAAAATTTGGAAATCTGGAAACCTGGCACATTTCAACATTTTACACTGACAATAGTATATAATTGGTAGTTGGTAGTCTGGCCCGTTTCCATCAATAACACATGTAAACTCTGAGACCTTGCTTGCCTTTTAATTCTGCCAAACATTGCATTCTTCATTTAAAGTATATTATCTATGCTGAACTTCAAGTTTATTTTTGGTTACACTCAGTTCTGTGACTTCCTTATAATCTACAGCCTTTGTTTGTATGATTATTTGCTTACCAGTCTCACTGATGCATAAAAAGCACAAGGCTTTTGCCAATTCTTAAGCCTCATGTACTGAAATAATTTCACTTTTGTTTCCTCTTGGGCACAAGGTCACAACTTTTGCCTCAAAGTATAAACTTTTCAAGGTTATAAACTAGTTTTCTAAAAAACTTGTCCTAGCAGCAAACAACTTATCGTCTGCCAAAATAGTTCATTATTACATCTTTTTCTGTTCAAAAACAAAAAACACACCATGTATTGATAGCTGTCAAAAAAATTATACACAGAAGACAAAAATCTATTAAATAATTTGTTACACACAATATCCGTTCTACTTATTGAGCAGAACCACTTGACATGAACATGTACGTTTGAAACAAAACACAAAGTATTTTTTTAGGAAGTCCATAAAAAAAAAAAAGCTTTCTGATCTACTTTAATAATTATTTTTTATCATCTAGCCTGCAAGGGTTTAAGTCAAAAACAAAGCTAACAACATACAGTGATCATTAGGTGTTTAGATTAGCACAGTATTTGAAGAACATTTAGTAAAAATGACATAGCTTGTATTTTTCAGGAAATGTAATGCAAACAGAAGTCCATTTTGCTCAATTTGTCTGCACTCAGAACATTTGCTGTCTGAGAGGCCTCAGAGCTCAGTTACCAGGGAACTGAAAGTAACCAGTACCAAGGCAAACTTCAGAGCCTGGAAAGAAACATGAATATCCCAAGACTACCATTACCAGTTTCTGTGCTGCAGTGAGTTACTCTGTAAATGCAAGTGGCCAAGATTTGTCCTGTAAAAGTGAAAAAACAGGCCCTGCAGATGAGCTGCATATTAGGCCAAAATACTTGTCCATAATATACACCTTATTCTAAGGCATGATAGGGTTTTTTTTGGTTGTAAACTCAGCTAATTACATCACACCATACAGTAACAGAGTATTGAAGCGGAAAACTCAGCAAGGCATATCTATAACCCCTATATATGTGTATTTTGACAACGGCCTCAACAGCACATGCCATCTGTCTGTACTGATGCAAAATCTCTCTCCTTTTCCACACTGTTTCCTAAAATACAAGTATCAACTTTAGCAACTGCTATAATTTTAGAGGAAGAGGAGAAGTTGGCACGAGTTTATGCAAAGACCTAATGATAATGAAAAGTTAGACTGGGAAATTGATACAAGTTCTGCTTATTTTCATCTGGTGAGAAAGAGTTCCCTGAATCAAACTCATATCTACTGGAAGTTACAGAGGTGAAGTTCACAAGGCTTATATGACTTGTCCAGACTTTTTTTTTTGTACTGTAAAACATTGTATCTGAGACAGCTGCATAGACTTTTCAGTGGCAAAAGGAACTGTTTGTAAGAGTTTGGATTTCTCTGTCAAGGTCAAGAATAGTTTCTATTGGAATACTTGCTTTGTTCTGGAATTGAGTTATTTTAATTCTGCTTATTCTTGATTCCCCACACATTTCCGGAAATGAGAAATTCAGTATCAACCAAAAAATAGCAATCTATGGGCCTCTCATGGTCTGTGAGCTACTGCCAAAGGCAAGTAAGACAAGCAAGTTCAGTAATCTGATGTATCTTATTGCACAGAAGATTTTTTGGTTTCTACTTCAGAAATGCCCACAAAACTTTCAGCATTTTATTAAAAAAAAAAAAAATCCTGAATACTGACAAGTTCCAAAGCCATTCCTGTCTTCCAAAATTTCACTTAAAGAATTCTGAAATTTCCAAAAATGCTTAAAATCTCCCATGAGAAAGGGGACAGTTGAGCAAGTACCTTGATTGAGGCCAGCTGTAAAGTGAAGCAGCCACTTCTAATTTCCTGGCTACCATTCTCTCAAAACTTTCACTACTGATTGTAGCCTGTCCCTCATTTCCTATTCCCAGGCACGGAGCACAGATGTGGCTGGAATCCAGCCTTCAAAAAGGGTTCGTTCGCTTTCCGTTCTGCCAAGTTCATTCATTCAACGATTTTTCTGCCTGGTGGCGATGACTGTCTGGTAACATACAACGTTCTTCCCTGTACTGTATAAAACACTGAGTGCTTTCTGCTTTTACAATAGTGCAAGCTAACTTGTCACTGAGTACACCCACTTCTCTTTGCAATGGATGTTATTCTTACACAACACCATGAGTAGGTACAGGTTGGGAAACGAGTGGCTGAACTAGCTAAGAAAACCTGGAAAACAGAGTAGAAACCAGTCTATGAGCCAGTAGTGCATGTGCTCTCATTACAAACTGGACAAATTACATATGGGGGTGCATTACCAAGAGTATGAGCAACAGATAAAGGGAAACTACCTATCTAATCTAAAAATGACCTGAAAAAATTTCAGTCAAATTCTTCCTGGTAGTCGCAAATCCAAAACAAGGTGCAAAACATACTATAATGGCACAATGGGTGGTTCAGGTTGGATATTAGAATTTTTTTCACTAGGAGGCCAGTGGAGCACTAGCCCAGGTTCTCCCAAGAGGCTGTGGGATCTCCATTCCTCAAGGTTTTCAAAACTCGCCTAGACAAAGCTCAGGCTGCCCTGATCTAGTGTTGGCGATAACCATGCTTTGAGTGGGAGGTTGGTTCAGAGATCCCCTTCAAACAGCATTT